TAAGCTTGTGCTGACAGGGCTTTCCTTGCAATTGCAACTAAAAAGCTGCAGTTAGGTTATAGAGGATCACTGCTCCTCAATTGGTAAAGTACCGCAGAGAATTGCAGGAAAGAATTAATTATTTTGCCCTCATATCAGGGCTGGAACAGCATACAGTTAGCGCAATTTGCTCTTACACTGCATAAAGGGAAAACAAAGCATCAAATAGCTTGTCAGTTTAAAGAGTGCTCTCTCTTTGAGGGGAGGGAGAGGTGAGAAGGGATGTTTATGTAAATGAGGCAGAGAAACTACAGAGAAAAAAGATGCAAGCATGTAATTAAAATCTGTATCATAATGCCTACATACAACATACCCACTGAGATTACACGACCAATATTGATTCTAGCATCAAACTTTTCAATGTTACATTTTACAACTTAATAACTTTCTTTTAAAATATGCTTTTCATGTGTAATCTCTAYTATAGCACAATGGGCCAAGATGATTTTTCAAACAAAGACAGACTTTTATCAAACAGAAAGTGAAAACTTCTTTTAAATCTGATCTCAGCTCTTTGATGTGATCCAAGCAGCTGAACRTCTGAAGCCACACAGTTTCATACCAGCTTGCACAAAAACAGAARTTCTTCTGCATGTTCTGGTGTACACCTACATAATGAGTGCTGGTAAGAGCTACATGGCAGACTCAYATTTTAGTTTAATCATAATAAATTTTGTAATGTTAAAGTGACACTCTTGAAAGTATTTACTTCTGTATTCAAAGACAGTATTAAAACAGGGAAATGGTCCTCTGATACGGRGAAGATATTTATTCCCCAAGCATTTTTACCTGTGTTTTGTTTTAYCAATAAAATCAGGGCTTTTGACTTGGTAAGAAAGAAGTTTCTTCAAAAAAAAAAAGGAAAATATGCATCTTTATTAAATCAAAACAGATTTGGACACTTGTCATTCTCCCAAAATCCAGATGATTACGAGGCCTAAGACAAGAAGCATAAGCTTAGCAATTTTGTTTTTTTTCTTAAGGCTCTGGCTGTCTCATATGTCAGACAGGCATGTGTATTATGCACATCCAGCAGGGGACAAAGATCAGAAATTTAAAGGAGCTGTTTGTGATTTTGGATTGGATATGGCACACAGATGAAAGAGCAAATATTTTTCCCCTTGGTTTAATGCTAGCACTAGATGCCTAAATTAAGCTCAGCAGGAAATAAACATCCACCACAGATTTCAAAAGATATCTCACATCTTTGTATTAAAATGTTATTTTAAGAGTYCCAAATGCTGCATGTCTGATTTTTATTAAGTCTAGAGCCAACATAGGAAGTGTTATTTGATTTACTTTAAAAGAACGCAGAAAATATCACTGGACAATGGGATGTAAATTGCAGGAAGCCAAAAGAAAATTGAAGACTAGGAGATAATGGGCCTGGTGCTATTATCTATAAGAATACTAAGGCCACAGGCTTAAAAAAATTACTTTGATGACCATAAGAGCTTGCTCAGACAGAGCATCAAGTTAGCAGATTTTCTGGAGGGAGTCAAAGGACAACAGTCTCAACTTTTCCACATAAACTGGGGAGAGGTTTYTGATATGCATTTCTGATTTCCTTCTACACTAAATAGCTACAATGTTGTACTCCAAAGGAAAACAAAATTAAACATCACCCCACATGTTCCTCACACATTTTATGTGTGTGGTTATTGGTGAAAAGAACTCTGTGTCCATATACTAATGTGGTTAAAAGTTCAAACACTGAAAATTTTCTATACAAAGTGTAAAACTACCAGGATGGGATTTTGCCCAGCTTAATCACAGTACACTGAGCTTTTATTTTGGAGTTTGCAGACACTATTTTTTTCCTCTTTTTTCCCACTGACTTTGATGATGTTTTGGGATTAAATCAAGGAGCAGACAGTTCCCATGAGATGAAAGACATAACTGCAAAGAAGACTTACTTAGAAGATTAAGAAAAAAACAACCAACGTCTTGGAGTTTGAGATGTTGTTATTTATTTAAAGAAACACTCCCTTGAAGGGGCTCCAATTTCAATATTTTAAATATGTTTCTGCATTATCAACTCTAGTTGGAAATAAAATGTTTTTTTTTAATTGCCAAGCTGATCAAAATTATAACAATACATTCCCAAGTAGGCTAAAGGTATTCTTACAGGCAGGAAGAATAGCTCCAAGTTCTTCTGCAAACAGTGCCAGTAATAAAACCTCAGCTTCTTTAATTTATGGCCACTTAAAACTCCCAGAAACTCTTATTCAAGTGACACCATTTCCACAAGGTTCCACACATCCCTCCTCCATCAGCTAACTCCCAGCTGGGCACAGAAGCAGCCCTGCTACAACAAAGCCTCAGCCACAGTTCAAGAGGTTCAGCCAAGTTCTCAGGCCAGACAGAGCAGAGACCTCGTGAGCAGAGACCTCACACATCTCTCAGAAAGGACTAATTTATATTCCTCTTCCAGCCAGTCCAGTATATTTCATAACATTTTTATTGCTTCCCCTTTCAACTCTGCCCAAACCTCCTATGGCCAAGACAATCAAAGGCTATTGGGTGAAGCAGAAGAGGTGCAGAGANNNAGAGAGACAAAAAAAAGTGTTCTTGGGGAAAAAGGCTAAAGACTGAAGTAGTTTTCACAGCAGGCAGAATTCTGTGCACATGCGTGAGCTTTCTCACACTCCTGGGTCAGCTGACCAAGAGGAGAAAGAAGACCTTTGGTTTCTGTTCCTGACACCACTTCTGCATGCAGTGTAAGCCAAGCTGATTTATGTTTCCGTTTGTGCAGGCTTAAAATAAGTCCATAGTAATGTACATACATTTTCCACACTGCGGACAAGAGTAATTTATTAGGTATAACATGATTTGAGATCCCTGGGTAAAAATGGAAAGCAGTAACTCAGTAGTTTGCAGCTCAGTGGCTGATTGGCATCAGAAGATTTGCACACTAGTTCAGATGCATTCACCAGCTTCTGTCTCCAAATTACAWGTCTCATTATAAGTTTCCAACACCTGCAAACTTTTGAAATCCACSTCTGGCTGTGAGGTTGATGAAGTGTTTGATTTACTATGAACTCAGATTAAAAATTACTCAGGACCTTAAGAAAATGCTGATGAAGAAGCAAACATCAGTTAACATCCAAAACTCATCTCTTGTAGAAGGCCAATGAAACCACACTTAGAACTCCCAGAATGTATCCACCTAAAGGTGTAATAATTTGGCCCATCTTTGCAAAAGATGAGTTCATCCTGTGCACATTTTCTGCTTACATAAGTTATAGTAAAAAAAAATAGAAACTTCGTTTGCTTTTCTTTGCCAGCTTTGGAATCTAGAAAAGAAAGTTTCCTGCTTTCATTACATTTCTCATCTTGCTAATGTACTTACAGTTCATATTGCTCTAGAATACCAAAATGCAGATTTATCCTTTTATATTTGATCCTGTGTTTCATTCCAATCATTTAGCTACTATGCAGGCCTTTCTCTCAAATTTCCCCAAATATTATGAAGCACTTTGTTAAATTGTTCCAGAAGTGTGAAAGACAGAATTGTTTTTCAAACATGATTTGGTTTTGTTTTCAAAAATGGGTKTGACATAACTGCTATTTATCACACTGAGTAATTGTATTAACTTGGTCTGTGGCTGTCTCTTGGACAACTTTGTGCTCAGTGGTCTTGCACTTAAAATATTGAAAAACACAGTTAAAATACTTAAAAATTACAAATGTCAGTTAWAACAGTTTTGATGGAAGTGCTAGTTTATTTTTAATGCTGCACTGCCAATAGATTTATTGACACTGGAAACAGTGAAATGCTGCAATTTTGGTATAATTATCTCAGAGTATTCAGGATTTTAAACTGATCAAATTATGGAATTGGTTTTTAAAGACTCAGCTTAGGGAAGTAGGGAGGAGATGCCTGGGAAAAAAATATCAGTTCCATCTGCAGAGTGGAATTGATTATATGTTCTGGATTGGCTTATGCTGTAGAACTACAAAAAAATTACAGGTGACTTTGGTTACTAGAGGAGCTATWAGTCAGCCTGAATTATTGACATATTTTTATGTAGTATAGCTCCAAATAMCTCCCTCAGTTTTCTTTTTCACTCTCAAAATGTAAACATTCAGAGCTATCATGGAAAGGAAGGGCACAARGTTGAAAACAGAAACAAGCTGTTCCAGAACCTGAGATTCCATCAAAACTAAACTTTTATCTTGCAGGCAGTTTAACAGGAAAGTTTAACTCTCCTCTTCCATTAGCTGCTCTTAAGTTTATTTCACATCAAGATATGAAATCTAAACTAAAAATTATATATCCAAAGACCGTTCCATAGTGTCCAGAAAAGGTGTTACACCTTTATTTAATGCTTAAACACCAAAGACCAAAAGGATTCACTGGGCAGCAGAAAACRATGAAAAAATAAGATTAGGATTCTCTAATGCTATCACATCTTTGTAAAGGAAGATACACAAACTTAAAATCAGGCAGTTTAGAAAGTCTAACACACCTCATTTTTGTTCCAATACACACCATAATTAAGAMTGAAGTTTACTGAAAGAACAAAAGAAAAATATAAACTATTTTTATTATTCTTTCCCATCATACACAAACACRCAATTCTTTAGGACATGACCACACTCCTTCCACAAGATGCCATTCCCTTTCAATACTCTGAATGAACAGTGATGATTGAACAAGTGATCATTAATTTTTTGGCCTTACTCTTACTATTCAGTGTGAAGTCCCATGTCTTGTTTACCATGTAYTGTTCAAAGCTTGATTTGAATAATGAATTATTCATTTGCTTGTGGTTTTACGACAGTGCTCATCACAACATCTGAATGCATTACAAATATCCAATGATTCAATTTCACATCATCTTTGTGTGATGATATGAATGATATCATTGTATGCACATTACAGAAGCAGAAAGCATCTGTTAATTCCAAATGCACAAATGGAAGCTTGCAGGGCCAAGTTTCTTCAAAATACTTACATTTGTCACACCATTCGAGTCAGCCTCAGCAGCACATGTGGATCATAGTCAGAGGTGGTCTCAAMGCAGGCCCCTAGAAAAAGAGAAAGACAATTAGAATTCCCCGATCACATGAAAACATTTTGGTTTTTAACTATTCTTCACATTAGATGTGATGAGTCAAAAATGTTGACAGTGGAGGGAAAGAAATTCTTAGAAGAAGCTGTTGCACTGCAGAGGTATAAATGAAGGTAAACAGCAAAAACTCAGATACAACAGAGGCACCAATGCACAATSAGGATTTGCGCTGGGCTGCTTTTTCAGAGACCATCATATTTCAGAGGATATCTATTTTCATTAGGGGGTGGGGGAAAAGAGTGAGAAAGGATGAGGAGAAGGCTGAGGTGCTAAATGCCTTCTTTTCCTCAGTCTTTAACCATCAGACCAGTTGATCTCAGGCTGCTCAAYKCCCTGAGCTTAAGGACAGGGACAGRGAGTAGAATGAAGCCCCCACAATCCAAGGGGAAATAGTCAGCGATCTCCTGTGCCATACAGATACATGAGTTCATGGAGTCCAATGGAATCCACCCAGGAGTACTGAAGGAGCTGATGGAGGTTCTCACAGAACCACTTGCCATCATTTACCAGCACTCCTTGCAAACTGGGGAGTTCCCACTAACCGGACATTAGCAAACATGATGCCCACCCACAAGAAGGACCAGAAGGAGGATTTCGGGAGCTACAGGTGTGTCAGCCAAACCGTGATGCTGGGGAAGGCCACAGAGCAGACCAGCTTGAGCGTGATCATGGAGAAAGTATTGGAAAACCAAGGGATCAGGCCCGGCCAGCACGGGCTCGTGACAGGCAGATCGTCCTTGGCCACATTTCTCTCCTTCCATGACAGGGTCACCTGCTTGGCAGRTGAGGGAAAGGCTGTGGATGTTGTACCTGGATGTTAGTAAAGACTTTGATGCTGCTTCCCACAGCACTCTTTGGGAGAAACTGGCTTGGATGGATGCAGTTCACTGAGTAAAGGCCCAGAGAATGGTGGGGATGGGCCAGTCCTGTTTAGTGTCTTTATTGATGATCTGGACAAGGGGACTGAGGGCAACATCAAACTGATGGGTGGGAATCTCAATCTGGGAGAGGGTAGGAAGGCTCTGCAGAGGGATCAGGACAGGCTGGATCCTTGGGCTGAGGCAAATTGTATGAAGGTCAACAAGATGAAGCCTGGAGTCCTGCACTTGGGTMACAACAACCCCGGCAGTGCCACAGGTTGGGGACAGAGTGGCTGGAAAGCTGCCCAGCAGGAAAGGTTCTGGGGGTGCTGGTTCAGCCGCTGAGCATGAGCCAGCAGTGTCCAGGTGGCCAAGAAGGCCAATGGCACCCTGGCCTGTATAAGCAATAGTGTGGCCAGCAGGACCAGGGCAGGGATTGTCCCCCTGTACCCGGCACTGGTGAGGCTGTACCTTGAGCCCCTCACTTCAAGAAAGACATTGAGGTTCTGGAGCATGTCCAGAGAAGGGCATCAATGTTGGGGAAGGGTCTGGASCACAGTCTTGATGAGGAGCAGCTGAGGGAGCTGGGGGTGTTTAGCCTGGAGGAAAGGAGGCTCAGGTGGYTCTTACAGCGCACCACAGCTGCCTGAAAGGAGGTTGTAGGGAGGTGGAGATGGTTCCTTCTCCCAAGAGAGAAAGTCTCACTGCCAGGATCACACCAAGACAGTATGCCAGCAGAGATTAAAAATGGCTTGGGACATGTGTGTTTAAACAATAGGGACCATCTTTCATTTTTCCCACTTGGATGGAATTCACTCAAACACATCTCATCTAAATATAAACAAAAATATCTACATGATAGTTATATGTACAGTTTCTACTATGAGAACTTTTCCCACAGTTTAATCCTCTTCCCAGGGTCTAAACCTGACAAAACTGTACAACCAGACCATCTGCAATCTTAATTACCCTCCTAATAAATGGCCATCCTTACACAGGGTTTACCTTCCTTTAAGTGAAAACAGTTCCAAATGGTGTTAAACTTTCCTAAGTGGCAGATGTGAAGACGAGGCTGCTGTGGCAGAAAAAATTCTTTCACAATTACTGTACTACAAAAATAATGGGTTTTCTGCTTCAACTCCAATATCCATGRTATTTCCATGAGAAATACAGCTGGATAAAGCCTTACCATATGCAGAGCAGCACACATTTTGTGTTCAGCAGCTGTAACCCAACCGGCTGCTCATTATAGACCAACACTGATTTTTCAGAAGTGACCCAGAATCTGCTCCCAGTTCTGGAAAAGGTCTCTTACAGACCAACATGTTATTGGAAGATACCTTCCTCTACGCCTTCAAAAATCTGATTTAATTACTGCAATCCAACTCAAATTATAGAGGAAGGACCAGTAGGTTCGTCCTATACTTGCATGATTCTTTGATGCCAGGTTTTTTTTCTGGTTTTCCAGATAGTCTGGGGAAACTCCCTCTGAATTCAGTAATCCCAATGAATCAGCTGCAGACCCAAATGGCTCCTCCAGCCTTTGCAGGAGTCCTGATCCATCATTCAAGAAAACAGGGCTCCACACTAAAAGTAGTGGTGCTACCACACCAGAAACAGGCTACTTTGGGGTTGTGGCTCTCTTTGAAAGACTTTTGAAATCACCTGGAATATCACTGTCACGTACCAGACATCAGTGTCAAATGTATATACAAGTTAAGCCTGGATCAAGGTCTAGTGGGAGGCTTTGCCCCACCTTGGGAAGGCATAATGTCTAAGAGAAAAAGTTGTGAGGAATTCAGCAGGGAGGCACATAAAGTCAGTCTCCTGGCATTTATGTGTTATCACYTGCTTGACTCCAATTCTTCCATTTCTGTCAGTCACTGGTTTAAAAGTGGCTGAGTTTAAAATGCTAACCACTGCTGAACTCACAAGCCAGCCACCAGACCACCCTGACACCAAACTTAATGGAGAGGAGACCACGTGGAAGAACTACACCACATGGTTGTTTCAGTTCAGGACTTGAGCTAATGCCCAGCTCTAACTAACTGATGTCACTCATAGTAGATGTGTCTTCATGTAACATGTTCTACCCAATTTTAAAAATTCATTACATGCTACACTAAACTGGAAGACACTTTGGCTTAAGTAGATAAAAAAAATAATCTGCTTTGGGAAATAAACTTATCTCAAAAATTCAGCTCAACCCAGTTTTGGTATAACACACACTCCTAACCCTTCAAGCTATAGGAGACTGGGGATTTTTCAWATACCATTTCTTTCTTATGTCTGACTGTTTCAGAAGCAAAGTTGACATGTGTTACCAGTGAACAAGCCCAAGAAGAAATCAGATCTGGGCATTTCCCACCCAGAAGAACAATTGAGAATTGAATGCAGCAAACATGAATTGAGGGCTTTATGATAAGACTGAGATCCCAAAGAATAAAGCCTGTGCTTAAGCTTGAGAGAGAAGAGAAAGGTGAAGCAGTTCTGGTTGCATGAGAGTCGCCAGTAGGTAGTTTTAATTGGAACAAACAAGGGCATGGACAAAAAAGCGTGTTGGCAAATACCAGTTTCACTGTAACTGTCAATGAAACACCAATCAGTTTARTACATTCAGACAAAAAAATCTGCAGGACAGGCATTTGATTATTTTAAGTCATGTAAAAATTGTTTACATTTGTGCTGAAATCTRAATTTGCTGTTACTTTATGATCATCACAACACTTGTAAACAAAAGCATTTCTTTAAAGCACTCAGACACCTGCAATGCTAGGCTAATTCATAATTGTGTGAATAGTTTCACTAGTACTGGTATTCAGCACTAAAAAAATCCGTTTTCTCAAGTAGTCTTACTCTGACAGTAACATTCATCTCATTTAAAACTTCTATATTACATATGCATTTTTTTTTCCTTTCAGTATGTAGTTTAGGTTATGGTTTATGTTACATCATCATATAATACAAATCAGCTTCTGCTTAGGGAGATAACTAGAGGATACAGGAATAAAAAAAGGATAATTTCTTTCTGTCTACTTAATTTAAGAATCTGTATTTGAAAAAACCCAACAACATTATAAGAAATCAACTTATATACTGGGCTATTAATTTGAAAAAACAATGGTGCAGGCAGTTAAAATATTTTAAGTAGTATCACATGATTTTTAATAAACTACTTGGAAAACTCTTACATAATAATAGGTAAATATATAAACCTTAAGTGCTACTAAGTTTGAATACAGTAATTTTGCAACTGTGTTTTAACATGGAACACAGGTCCCACATCTGCTACAGACTGAGCACTACAGAAACTTTATTCTTCCCCTACCCCTCATCAGCTGCTGGAAAATCACTCTAATGACTCCCTCAGGCTGGGTTCAAGGAGCAACAGTAACACTATAGGAACGGCAGCAAAATTTGAAACCTTCTTTTGTAGCCTACTTCCCTCGGGCCAAACTGCAAAGCTTTCATACGAAGGAGTGAAGGGAATAAAAAGGAGACTTTTGTCTGCCTTATACACAATAAATAAAATGGATTGCCAGTCTCACAGTCTCACCTTCCTGTCCTGTCACAGGTTGCAAGGCTGTGGCAAGCTTTGTTAGTAAGCCCTGAAGGAAGAAGTTTTCATTACTGTGAAGCTAGCAACACTGCTAATCCATGAACATTCAAACCACACTAACAAAACAGGAATGAGACTGGTCTAAAAATGTTGCATTTTAAAAGCTGTTTTATGCATTTTCTCTATCTTCTGTTCTCTTGAAGTTTTAAAATAAAATTCAGTCTTACTGTCAATTCTTTTTCACCTCACTCCCTAAAACCGGAAGTGCTTGAAGAAAATATTGCTTTTTGTAAAAAGGACCAGCAAGACTTCATAGAAATGTTCTTCTCCAGGTGCAAAGATCACAAATATCAAGCCATATATAGAGACCACAGTCCTAGACTGAAGCTGGATTAAGTGCTTTGCAAAATACTCACTTCATATTTAAAATTAAATTTTTTTAAAAGCCAGCCAGTGACTGATTTAAAAAATGCTGGAAACATGCCAGGTACACTATTCAGAACACCTTGAAACAAACTGCACTACTGTCTATACTTG